TATCACAAAGTAGGATATTTAATAACAAGTGATGAAAACCTGAAGAAAAAGAAACTAAATGATATTAACTAGATTATAGTCTAGTTGATATCATTTATATAACAACACATTTAAAAAAAAAAAAAAATTAAATTTTCAGTATCCCCCTCTCCTGCATGTGCAGTCACATCAATGTAAATATCATTTTAGTCTGATTAAGTCCTAAACGATGAAACCTGTCACACAAAACGTTTTCCACTTTGTCATAGTTTTGCCTAAAATATTTCATAATCACTGCCTGTGGATTCTTATGGCAATTGGTGAGATATTGTTTTTAGGAAATTTGTGCTCTTTGAGATTGTCTCTTAGTAGTAGCTATCAGTAAAGCAGTTGTAATCTTGAAAAAGATTACTCACATGTGTATTCATTATTGTTTTAACTGCAATTCATATAAAAGAAGGAAAATAGCATATAACTAGCTGAATGCTTTAATTGATAGTCAGTTTTGTTTATGAATCTTAAGAATAATGGACAAAACTGATAATAATAGCACAGAACAACCTGATAATAAATAGGACAGGTTGTTATAATGTTAATATTATTTTAGAGAAGAAATAGTAGCTGAAATGCAATGTGTTATACAAGAAAGTGAAAAATCATCTGGCTAATAAATAATACTCAAATATAAAGTAATAGAAATTTTAATTCCAATAATTGTTTGGACTGTTGATCTCATTCTTTTTGCTATTTTTATTGTAATCAAAACATCTTGGCTTATCTAAACAGTCTTCTTTCTCTGATATCTAATCCTTATGGAAGCCGGGAAGGAATCTTTCTCTACCCGATGAACCAATACTTTAAAATAAATAATTGAAGAGGGAGAAGCTGCCCATTAGCCTTGCAGATAAACTTCTACATCAGAGTGGTATGGATTTCTTTGCTTGGCAAAGGAAGGATTTGAGAACAAAGAGGTACATAAAATATAGAATTGCTTGTATCACCAAAGATATTTTGAAATGTAGTATAATGGGTTGGTTTGACTAGTATATTTGCTACTTTTTTTCCCTAAATTTCTTATGCCAATGCCATACTGATGTCTGTTTAAGATTAGTGAAATTTGAGTACAGATCCTTATGAGTTGCTTTAATTTTTGTATGGTGGTTGGGGGTGCGGGATTGACAATAATCATTTAGTGACACAAGTCTTACTAATTAACCTATAGCTGGAGGAAGAAGACGTGGATTCATACCTTTCCCAACACATATAACAAACCTGGAACTCAGCTCTCCAATTATCAATTCCAAGCCATTATCCATTACTCCACAAGATTACAGCACCGGGTATTCCAAAGTCATTACCTATCTAGGTACTGACAAGGCCTAGCAAGTGTGTGTGTGTATATATATATATATATATATTTTACTGTAAATGTTATTTTTAGAGGGTACATGTGTGTGAGTTACTATCCCTGCCTTTGGGGGAGGGGGAATAGCAATTCAAATTCATGTATCTGCTAAAAGTAATGCTCATAATAATAAGAAATAATCTTGAATAAATAAATAAAAAATGAATTTAAAAATTGCTGTTTACATTTTGAGTATAAAAAAGAAACTAACAGATATAGATTCTGTGAAGTCCCAACAAGACTCTCCTTATGTAGGTAATTGAACTTTGCAGATTTTTAGGACTTTTTGATCTAGCCCAGTTGTTATTAATTTTAAGAAAAAAAAAAAAAAACAAGGATAAGAACTCATATGCACCTACTAAAAATAAAGTTTATAGTAATAAGAAATAATGTCAAATAAAAAATCCATTTAAAAATATATATTAAAGAATATCAAGCACTTAAAATCCCATAGGTAATAATTTTTATTTCATAAGAGCTCTAGAAAACACGTTGAACAAACTGGAGGTATTTTGTTTACACTTTTTTACCTCTCTTTTCCATTGTTGTTTTTAGATCATTTTCTTCCAGTCATTTTGATGGGCAATAGTAAAATTCTGAAATTTGGAATGATCTCATATCTTAAAATACAACCAAAAATAAAATGCTAAAATTGATAAAAAAAAAAAAAAACTTAATGATTTCATTATAATTATGTAACAATATTCTGCAGGCAAATCTACAGTTTGTTATGTTATGGTTACAAGCTATAAACATAAATTGAGCTTGAAATATTGTGTAATCAGCTCTAATTTTTTGTAAAATATTTGAATATGATATAATGAATAATTTGCATTGGAAAAAGTAATTTTTGATTTTTTTTTCTTCTCCTCTGCCAAACAATATTTAAAAAAGAAAAAAAAATTAATTTAAAATTTCATCATGCACATGTGTAATCACATTAATGTCAACATTACTTTAGTCTGATTAAGTCCTACAGGACAAAATGCATCACAAAAAAAATGTTTTCCACTTTGTCATAGATTTTTTTCTAAACATGTCCATACAAAGATGAAATAAGGTGCTGCTATTGACAACTATAATATTGCCATTATTCTTAGATATATATTTCTGCAATTCCTAACAGAATAGGTCTGTTATGCAAGTATAAAAATATAAATTTACACATAAAAATAAACAAAATTAATACAAATAAGTGAGAAAGTAAAATTACCAGAGACTTTGTATGATTATTAATTTGGTCATGTTTGCAAAAAGTGATGAGTATTTATCTGAACACAGACATCTACAAAATGTCATATAAGGCAGTTCAAAGTGGGAGTTCCATGCACCTATACAGAGAACCATAGGCCAAAACGACTCTAGACATTTTTCCTTTTGGGAATCCTTGAAGTGCTTAGGATTAATCTGGGAAGGTATTACCTGGGGGAGGCGTCAGTCTACTGAAACTGGAGATCCTGAATTTATGCCTCAAAGTTTAAGAAGCAAAAAAAAATGTCAAAAGGACATTTTTCTCTTGACACTGCTAATATTGTATAATCCTTTGGTAATTTTCTTGTTTTTAAAAGCTATTTTTAGAATTTTAATAAAACCATAAATAAAACTGAATTTAGATTTTTTTTTTTTTTTTTTTTTTTTCCTCAAAATATTACAACAAAAATGTTAGACTTTATTTATTCAAGAAAGATGTGAGAACAATATTTTTTATAAGAGGATAGAATTTGATTTGTGAACTGTAACAACAATTTTTTTTTTTTTATAAGATTATAAAAATATTCTTAGAGTTCACTATTTTTAAAACAATAAAAATTACAGAGGGTGGAAAATATCCTTTTCACACACGTTTTAACCTGACCCTAAGTTAAACTTTGCCATTTATTTTTTTTTTTTTTAAAAGCCAATCAATAATCTTGTTAGCTTTCATCAGACAAAGGAGATTGTTGTCACAAAGGTCAAGTGTTCTGAGATCAGGTCATATTTCTGCTTGTGAAGAATTAAGATCCATCACCTTCACCATGCTTATGAGTTTTTTTGTACTTAGGAATTTTTCAAAAGCTAGAATTAAACTTTAGGTTGATAAACATTCTCAGTTTACTTACATGACTTAAATAATTTATAATACAAAACTGCTGTTTCCACTTTGTATATTTTAGCAGTTATTTCCATTTTAAGATTTGATTTCCATTTTATGTTTTATTTTTTTCTCATTTAAACCTGGAAAATTCTAGTTAACCTTTTTTCTAATTTTGAAATCACAGAACTGAAGCATTTCTTTTGTGTACCTTGGATTTTACGGTCCTGGGTGGTAAAAATCATGCATTTCTATAATTATGTTTTTCATCCCACACAGATTCTTGTGGAAATCTCTGGAGGAAAAAAAAATCTGCAAATACAAACCAAAAAAAAAAAAAAAACAACCTGCAGTAATATATTTACTGATTAATGAATATGCTTGATAGGCTCATAAAACCCTATACATGCCAACCAATTGACAATATCTTTACAAATAAACTGAAATGTGCATATGTACATACAAACAGACGCAAATATAAAATATATATATATACTGACAATCATCGTTTAGGGTTGGATTACATCCAGCCTAAAGTATTCATTCCTTATTCTCCTTTGCTGAAGATCTCCTTAAGAGAAACATAAGTTTTGTCAGTCATATTAAAATTTGACAAGTGTAAATTTAAACAACTGCTGTGAACATTCCAAAAAAAAAAAAAATCTATAATAATTCAAATTGTCAGGAAAAAATTGTTTTTCTTATTTTTTATTTTTTCCTTTCTATTCTATAATATTAAATAAAAAAAATTTAATTTTGCTGTTTTTTTTTAATTTTCTTTGTGTGTGTGTATATTCCTTACATGTATAAGATTGCTTTATTTTCAATTCCACCAAAAGACCTTTTTAATATACATAAAAACATTTGTTTTATTTACCCAGTTACAGTGCTATTTCAAAATGGCTTTTTTTTTTTTTTTTTTTTTTTTTTTTTTTATAGCATTCCTGAGGATCTTTTTGTCAGCATACCCACACTTTAAAATAATTTAATTCCTTACATTTATAAAATTATTCATTCTTAAATTCTATAGTCCATACTTTCACTTCTACGCTTTTTTCCTATATTCTGCTTTATTTTAACTTCCATTAATAGAATGGAATATAATAAATTTAAGTAGAAATACAGGAAGAAATTGTATTTTAAGTATAGATGAAAAACTATAGATTACTGAATTTTAATCTAATAATAGCAATAGCAACATTATGACTAGTGTGTTGTTACAGTTGACTAATTTGTTTTTTTTTTTTTTTGTAGCTTATCAACAATTTGTGAGTTATTTAAAGCCAAAATAGGTTTTGGATTGTAAGAAAAATTCTTTTTGTGTGAATGAATATTGTATTAACATTTTTTTTCTTTGAGATAATAATGATTTAATAATAAAAGCCTTACTAATTAACCCATAGCTGGTGGAAGAGGAGGTGGATTCATACCTTTCCCAATGGTATTTGCATGTAAGTGAATATAATGAACTCGGTGGTAATTGGAACTCAGCTCTCCCATTAACAATTCAGAGCCATTATCCATTGCACTAACTGCACATCCAAGCTTACAGCACCTGGTGTTGCCAAGTGGTCAACCATCTAGGTACTGACCAGGCTTGATGTTGCTTAACTTTGGTGATCATACAGGAACTGGTGTTTTAATGTGATGTTGCCATAAGCCTAACAGAATTATGCTCAGGCAATATAGTTAGAAGCATTATTTTATTAATGAACATTTGGTTTTAGTTATTCCAATGGAAACTGAATACAATGAAGAAGCAAAAAATACATTGAAAATGTGGCTATATCAGAAAAAATTTCTTGTCTGTTCCATTGTAATTGCACTGGCAGTCGACCGAATTATTTATTCAGCTTTAGCATGATCAGTCAAGGATAGCCTGCTGGGCATTTATAAATTTATGCCCGTTTGTCATAGTATCAAAACTTAATCATCTATCATTTAAACATTAATAAATAAATTATTAATTTTAAAGCATCTCCTCTCCCAACTATGGATTAAATAGTAGGACTTCTATCTGGAAAAAAATCACTTATTCTCAAAAAAATGTTAATACAATATTCATTCACACAAAAAGAATTTTTCTTACAATCCAAAAACTCACAAATTGTTGATAAGCTACAAAAAACAAATTAGTCAACTGTAACAACACACTAGTCATAATGTTGCTTGACCAAATTCAGTAGCATCTATTTCTCTGTGTCCAATTGCTATTATTAGATTTAGTTCTTTTAAAAAATAAATAATGCACATGTTTTGAAGCCTGTCTAGAAAGAGTTTACATTTCAATTGTTTTTATTTTATGAGTTTAAATTAGGGTCCTGGTGCAAAAAATACATGCAACCCTGGGCCTCTTTGCCCTCTACGATTAATTCACTACAGAACAACAATTTTGACATAATAATGCATTATTTTTCTCTCTTTTTGGTTTGTTATAGTTATTTGGGTTGCATGATTTTGCTACAACATCAAGTTGGATAAACAGTTTATGTTGCTTCAACCTTCCAAATAGAAAGGAAATTTAGTATTTGAAACATGGTTTGTTTATTTGTTGTTTTTTAATGTTATAATACTAATCACTGGTGATAGTATAAAATCTTCAACTATTTCAGCCATGAAATTTTTTTTTTTTTTTTTTTTTTTTAACTAAACTTATCCTGACACAAAGTCCATAAATGTGGCTCACCAGTGTAATTTGAACTCAATACTATCATAATTGATTTGCAAGACTTACTTGCCAATCATTGATTCACAGTGAGGTGAGCTAAGCTTCATGTGTTGGAAGCCAATAAGAATCAAAATTACATAAGTAATAATTATCTGTGAAATTATATTTAGTCAGTGTTCCACTTAAGAAGCCTTGGTTCTGAACCTTTGGAAAGGCTCCCTTTGATCATGCCCCACCCCCATAATTCATTGAATAAAGATGTTAATAGCTTATATTATTGTATAATATACTATTAGTGAATAATTTAATGACAAGAGGAAAGGACAAAAAAATAAACGGGATTCAAGAAGACAGAAGATGGTGACTGACTTTGCATTTAAATTTTTGAAGATTGTAGTTATCAGTGAAGCAAGGAAACGGAAGAGAGTTCCACAGGTGGGAAGTGCAAGAAAAAAACTGTTGGTGTAGAAGTGGTGGATGCATTTACCTATTTCAACAGTAAATGGGTGGAACCAAGATGCCAGTCTAGTAGCAAGCTTAAATTCATGTATTTGGGGGCACCAGAGAAAGAAGCTTGTCCGAACAGTTGCCATGAAAATATTTGTAGAAAAGACAGAAAGAAGCCATGCCACGTTGGTGAGAAAGTGACTGACAAAAGAAAAGATGCTATGGAGAACTTGGGTCACCTTGTAGGGACATGGTAGCTAAAAAGAAAAACAAACTACTAATCATCCAACATAATCAACTATGAATAAAAAGAGAGAGAAGAAAAAACTATTCTTAGTTGTCTCTTTTCTTCTTCCTCTTATCTCTTTTTATTCATTTTGTCTACTCTATAGATACAAACTGAAAATATGTATATAATCAACTATATTTCTCTCTCTCATGGTTATCCGACCCTTCTGAGCTTAATAATTAATCCACTACTGTATTGATGAGATATAGATTGGCATAGATGCATAACACAAAGATGGTAATTGTTTGATTAAAACTAAGTTTAACAGTATATCTGAAGAGGATTAAAATTCAACCTGCAAGACCTGGATCATCATATTGTAATTCTCTTGGAAATGGAGTGGCTCTTACAGCGTGTGTCACTGGCGATGGTTCGAGGTAATGCTTTCTCCATCATTGTGGCTAGCAGAGGTTAGAAAAAATTGTTTATTGTTACGTTGTTCTGGAATTGTCATCAGTGGTCAACTGTTCTTGTTTTGTTTCAATAAATTCTCTTGTTCCTTAGTTAATGCATATATGTTACACCCTGCCAATATCTTATATTTATTATGGACTTTTCCATTTTGATCACGAGACAGAAAAAAACGTATCAGAAACATTGCTTGATTTCAGTGAGAAAGTAGAAGTGGTAACAGTCTTATGTGCTTAACAACTGCTTCAGCAAAATGGAAAAACTTGTCAATTTCAAATCTTTTCATTTGTACCCTTTTACTTCTTAAATTATGACCTGTACTCATACTTATGATTGTTATTGCAAACAATACCATATGGAAATTTTTATGGGTATGTTGCTGAGTGATTAGAACATTTGCATTCTGACCATGAGACACAGGTTCGAATCTCACCATAGTTGATTTGTCAAGGAGGAGACTTCCTGATGTCATCAGACTAGAGGAGTCAATCCCAGCATACGGCACCTTTGGAAAGTGCCTGAAAACCATACCACAAGTTGAACCAAGCCGTGTGAGTGAAATTGGGTAGACAGAACCCTTGGGTGCTGTCGATAACTGTGTTAGCATGAGTCACAAGTCATCGTGGCCGAGGGCTTGAGCATGCTGGCTTTCTTCAAATTGTTGATCACACTAGATAACATGCTCTTTCACAGAAATGGTAACTAAGGTCTGCTCTGCATAGTTGCAGTATAAACCACAGGTTGGTTTTGTGGGTGTTGAATAAACACAAATGTGGCTGAGCAAGCGTCTGCAATAGGGATCGGCTAGCCACCCTAGTAGACAGGTATCCTCAAATACAAGTGGCCAGCTATACATAGTCACAGAACTCACAAAGTAGCTTATTCAAGCATTAACTTTTCATCAGAAAATTTAAATAGTAAAAAATTTTCACAGGTACTAGTATATTTTACATCATATTTGATATTTTCTTCATTTTCTGGGTCTTTTAAGAGTAAAAAACAACTAAAACTCTCTTGTGAAATTGAGGGATGACATGTAGCAATAATTAGGAATATAATGAATTTAAAAGAACAAAGATTCCTTCAAATCTAACAAACATTAATTTTGTTTCTATTCAAGGACAGGATGGCAAAGTTTAACAAACAAACAGTTTTTATCTTTTTATCTGCTGTTAATGTATACATATTCAACAATTTTTATTGTTTTAAAAATCTATTTTTAGAATTTTAACATAGGAAACTCGATCTACAGTTTATTTATTTTTGAGAATTGGTAACAAAAATTTAGCTACTATTATTAAATTATTTATTTACAAGAATAATTTTATATTTACAAGATTATAAAAATATGTGAACCAACAATAATGCAATATTTATTATTTATCATATTTTAAAGAAATAACTATGAAAACAGTTTATTTATTCATAGATCATTTTTATAAATTTATGAATAAAAAAATTGTATAAAATCTATGAATAAATTTATGAATAAAAAAAATTAAGAGAACAAAAATTTTAATTATAAATTTTACAAAAATACATTTAATCTCACCACATAAATTTGCTTAAGTTGAGAGATTGATTTCATCTGATTTTATGGCTTAACACTGTGTGTTATTTAAAACAAATTTCAAATTCCCAAGTAGTATCTAAGTACTGACCAGGCTTGATGCTGATTAATTGACAGCCAAGAAAAAGAAAAATTCATTTTTATAAGTTTGAGTTTTATTAAAATTCTAAAAATTGCTTTTTAAAACAATAAAAAAGCAAAGTGTGTATACTGTAATAGCAGTATCAAAAGAAAGACCATCCTTTTGATGCACTGATTGCAGGTACGTACAGGGTGCAATGTGTAAATTGTCACTATTTTATATTTTTAATTTTGTCGACTGCACAGTATAGTAGGGTCAGTTGGGCACCGTCTGTGGGAAAAAGAGCACCATGAGGCATTTCACTATGCCAGAAATTTGGAAATGACATGCTGCACTGGGAGTCAATCTGAGGACAGTGTAGAGGATTCAGAAAAAGTTAGATGAGTCTAATGGTTATTACAAAGGTATTTGGAATGATCACTAGTGATTTTGACATTATGCTTCTATTCATAAACCCACAGGACCTCAGACTCAACACAGAGGCCTGCATCAAGTGCCTTGAGGAGGTAGTGCTGCCCTGGGTCAAGAGGGTGGCTGCTGGAAGACATTATGTCTGGCAACAGGATTCTGCACCATGCCACACAAGCAGAAGAACCCAGCCATGGATGTCAGACAATTTCTGCAACTACATCATTCCTTACAACTGGCCATCTAACTTCTCAGGCTACAACCCCTTTGATTATTATGTTTGGGGCACAGTTGAGCAACAGAACTCACTGTAAAACCAAAGATGAACTGAAGGCAAGGATTATAGCAGCATTCACCAACTTAAACAAGAAGTCCGCCCAGAAGAGTTGCATTAGATTCCAAAGTTGTCTGGAGGCCATAGTTGAAGCCAATGTCAGTGTTATTTTCATTTTTGCAAAATTCAGATGATAATTTATCCATCGCATGTATGTTAAACTTTGTGGTTATTGGGTATTCAAAAAGGCATGATGTCTGGCATTGTCCTCATAGAAGACAACACCTGACTGTTTAGCCAATTCTAGATACTTTTCATTGATTGCTGTTTTCAATTGGTCCAACTGGAAACAGTACTTATCTGAATTCAATGTCTGATTTTGTGGAAAAATCTTATGAAATGTTTTTCCAATTCCATCAGATACATAACATTACCTTCTTGAGATGCAAAATGGCTTTTGAAGTGGTTAGTAACAGCTCATTTCATTTTCTCCGG